AGCTTCTGTCACGAAAACAAATTCCTCGTATGTGTAAACATACCTGGCAATAAAGCTCATTCTGATTCTGATTCTGATAATTTTATATATACTGATTTATTCATTAATGTGTAATATGTTTTATTTTTTAAACAAATCATAAGCTCTAAAAGATTTTCAGCTTTTTTGCTTTAGACCATCTACAAATGTTAAATCTTAAAATAAAATGTTTGGGTTAACCTTGCATCTTTCTGGGAAAAAAATGCAGCGATTGATATATGGTTTATTTATAGTTATTTTCAAAGCTTTAATGTACTGTCAAAAAACCTTCATTATTGTTTATTTAATTCTAAAAAAATAAGTTCCTGTTAAAAACTAACCAAAATTAAAACTATTTTGCTTATAATTTCTGCACAGAAGAGACTTGGTGTTGTTTCCAAACAAAAGGAAATATATCGGTATCGGCCAAAATTAGTTGAAAAATATCGGCATATCGGATATCGACAAAATCCAATATTGTGCATCCCTACAACATATTAATGATGAAAAATTTTTGCTTTTTTGTTCAAATTTTTGCTAGCTAGAACAACGTTAATGCTATAAGGTTAATTTTGATCATAAGATATGAAGTCATTATGAACCTCCAAATAGACAATTTTTACTTTCTATTTTTTATTAAATTTTTGCTCTTTCTGCACAGTCCATTTGTACATAAGTTTGTTTAAAAGGTAGCTTTTTGTACCTTATTGGCATATACCTTGGCATTATACCTCATGTATGAAATCGATATTCGAAAATCAAAACATTTTCTGCCACAAAATTAATTTTGGGTTTTGGCCAAAACACGTTTCGAAGGGCAGAAATCATTGACCAAAATGGAGCAAATATATACATTGTATTACATATTAATTAAATCTTTACTTAACCTGTTGTTTTAATTACTTAAGTATGATTGAATAAATCTTTTATTAAAACAAGTTTCTATTATAGCCACCTTTTAAATGTTTATATTTCAGCAATGAATTGGAATAAAAGCATAATAATATCTTTAAAAAGTTGCCTTATGTGCAGCTTAAATGTTTACTCAGTATGCTTTATTTGTGTGGTGATTAATAAATTTGATTAATTAGTTGATGATTAAATAACAGTAGTATGGTTTTTGAATTTTCAGTGTGTCCTGGTTAAAATAAATAAATAAATACTTTCAGTGCATTGCTATTGCCAGTATTTAACACAGTAGTTTAATATCAGTTAATGCATTAAAGTCTACAGCAGTATTAACAAAAATGATAGATTTGAGTAAAGGCCTTTCCACACTGAGCGCGATGCGAAAAAGCGAGGCGAATCGCTGACGAACGGTGCTTTCACACTGAACGCGAAACGATTGTTCGCCTTCTGCTAATTCACGCCTGCATGCTAGGTGGTGCCGACCAACAATGCATTTTTCCTCAGATATGTATCTCGTATATGGATTTAACATCGTCCGCTGCTCAATATAGCATTAAATTAAGATAAACAAAGTTTGGTTCTACACCAGAAACACAAACTATCTATAATGCTTTCAAGAATAGGCTACATCCTAAAAGATAATTAGAAGTACAATTAGCATCAAGCTACACTTGAAAATGTATGTAATAATGTATTGGCTTACCCACTTTAAACCATCATCGAGTGCTTGTTATAACTTTCAATTGTGATCTATAGTTGATTTTGTAGAAAAAGAGTTAACGTGCTCTGACTCATAACACTCGTGCATGTCGAAGAAAACGGACGGTGCTCTACTGGGATTACATAATTAAGTGGACCATTAATAGAAATGTTATTCTGTATAAAGAACATGTGAGAATAAATCTGTTCTCAAATACCAGCTATAACAAGAACTCAGCATCCACTCTCTTATCTGGGATACTCTTCTTCGATATTTGTTTACACTGGTTTTCGAAACAGCGCCACCACTCTCACTTTTTGTGCAACAGTAGCTGCTCCGGTCACGTGAGCCTAGCTAAAATCTTATTGGACGACCCGTGATTTCGCTTTGTGAAACTGAAAAGATTCGTCAGACAAAAAAAAACCATTTGCATTTTCGGTGGGCGAATGTTCGCGGTCTATGTGGAAGCATCCGTAGAAATTGTTTTATTCCAGCGCGTCATCGTGTCTGATATTCGTTTCGCTTTTTCGCACTCAGTGTGGAAAGGCCTTAAGACTTTTATCGCATTAAATATTCAGTTTCAACTGGAAATATGTCAAATTTTTTCAACTGGAAATTTGCACAGCGTTGCATGTTGACATTTTGTTTTTACTCTGATATTTCTTGTTTGTTCATGTCAACCACATCCAGAGTCCACACTCTTATAGTTGATCGTCAGACTTTAGCAAATATACAGCTGGAGTTTCACCCTGTTTTGGTGTGTGTTTGCAGTGCCCCATAACGGTCTGGTGGTTTACTGCGGCACCATTGTGACAGAAGAAGGCAAAGAGAAGAAAGTCAACATTGACTTTGAGCCATTCAAACCCATCAACACCTCTCTGTACCTCTGTGATAACAAGTTCCACACCGAGGTACAATCACAGTCCAAATCAAGCCTGTTTCATAAAGCTCATTATTCTTGAGATGCTGTATAATTGCCTGTCTTTCTCTAGGCTCTGACGGCGTTATTGTCAGACGACAGTAAGTTTGGATTCATAGTCATCGATGGTAGTGGAGCTCTGTTCGGGACTCTACAGGGAAACACCAGAGAAGTGCTGCACAAATTCACTGTGGACCTGCCCAAAAAACACGGTATTCACTGCATAACACTTCACTTTGATCTGACAGCTGTGTCGAGGGCTCATAGAAAACCGAGATGGTTTCAGTGTACTTAGTATGTAGCTATTAAGGGGCCGTTTACACAACAACGTTTTCAGACAAAAACGGGAAACTTTTTATGCATTTTGACTGTTCGTTTACACGACAACGCCGTTTTGGGGGACTGAAAACGCATATTTTTGAAAACGGGTTTCAAAGTGCAAGTTTTTGAAAACGCCACCGTTATTGTTTCCGTGTAAACACCCAAAATGGGAATCTTTGAAAACGGTGACGTCATGCACGTGCTTAGTACATGTTAGGTATGTAGCCATGCGCAGTACGTGTCGATTTTAAAGGCAAGCGCGAACAAACATACACAACAATGGCGGAGTATATGGTACTGTTGTTGCTGCTCAAGAGTTTGCTAACGCTTCTTCAGCAAAGTGTGGATTTACTTCACCAATATTACAAGCAACATCGGAGACGCATCATATACATAATATAATCGTTACTATCGTTGCTAACAAGGTGACAGCGCCAACTACTGGCCTGGCATACCTAATACAGCGTTTTTGGCCGTTTTCGCGGATATGTGTAAACGCGAATCATTTTGAAAATGTTGTCATGTATACGTGAAACTTTTTAAAAACGCAAGACTACAACGTTGTCGTGTAAACGTAGCCTAAGTTTCTTAAAGATTATGTCAATAAACTAGTTTCAAAATTCATCCGTCTCTTTAGACTCGTATGACATTCAAAAATTAGCAGCAAATCAGTGTTAGACTTGGTAAAGGATGATTCATTTGATTCTAAAGTCTCACTCAATGATTCATTTGCATCACTCATTACTTATTTTCTATATAATAAAATGTTTAAGTAAAATTCTGTAGTTAAACAGTGCTGATTATTATGTAACATTGGTGTATATAAATTAAAACAAATCGGTGTTCTTTTATTTGTTTTGGTATGAAAAATTGGCTTGAAGTTTTCACTAAATTCATATTGACATTTTATCATTTTTATCAATATTGTCCAGTAACAGTGTCATCTTTCTCCAGTTTTCTCCAGTCTTGGTTTCTTGAATGCCAATTTGTAGAATTAAATGCATTATTAATGTTATATTTGTTTATATGTTCAAATGGTTAAATATTATTAATGTAAACAATAAACAAACATTTATTTTGAAAAACATGTCTTGATTATTCTAAACTAGATTAGACTATAGTTTACTTCTTGCAAAATTATTATTTTTTTAAATGGTTACACTTTTAATTTTAGAATAAACACATAAATATTGAAATTGAGTTTTTTTTTTAGCCATGTTGTCCAGTAACAGTGCCATCTTTACCCAGGTTTTCTCTGGTCTTCTGTTCTTGAGTGTTATTTTTTGGAATTAAACCCATATTTATTTCAGTTAATTGATTCCAAATTTTGACTCAATTCATTTGCATCATTACTCATTTTTCAAACAATAAACTTTCTGTAGTTAAAAACTAAATATGGCTGATTACTAGTGTTACATTGTTGTATATGAATTAAAATAATTACATATTACCCTTTTATGTGTTTATTTAGTGAAAAACCTGCCTTGATGATTCTAAACTAGATGAGACTATATTTTACTTCTTGTATAAACATTTTAAATCTTGCTTTTTTCTAAGTATTACCCTTTAAGTTTTAGAATAAATGCATAAATAATGAAATTGTTACTGGACACTATGGCTAAAATAAAATTCAGTATCATCATCCTTACTCAATTTTTTTCTGGTATTCTTCAATACTATTTTATAGAATTAAATCCATATATATATATATATATATATATATAAACATATGATTTTCTCTCTCAGGAAGAGGAGGTCAGTCTGCGTTGCGTTTCGCTCGGTTAAGGATGGAGAAGAGACATAATTACGTGAGGAAGGTGGCAGAGACGGCCGTGCAGCTCTTCGTGTCCAACGATAAAGTCAACGTGGTCGGACTGGTGCTGGCCGGATCCGCAGATTTCAAAACAGAGCTCAGCCAATCAGACATGTTCGACCCGGTAAGAAAGAAAGCAGATTGGTTGGTAGTTGTTCTCTGATTAGAAGAGTTCACTTTCTCTGAAGTCATTGTTAAGAGTAATATGTAGAAATATTAAGAGAATGATTTTATTCTGTACATAGTTTATCATTGGACGTCACCTAATCGCAGTTTCTTTGTGTTTGGCTAAAGTCTGTCTTTCTAACATCAGTTTGTTGTCTCTGATTGGTTGCAGAGGTTACAGGCGAAAGTGTTGAAGCTGGTCGACATCTCTTACGGAGGAGAAAACGGCTTCAATCAGGCCATCGAACTGTCCGCTGAGGTCCTGTCCAACGTCAAATTCATACAGGAGAAAAAATTAATAGGTAAATATTGATTCTCACAAAGATGCAATTCCGTGTCTTATGAGTCTCTAACAATGCCACAGACTAATTCTGCATTCAGAAATCATTCTATAACCAAACAACCATTTAGCAACACGAACAAAGTTTTGCACATGCAAACCCCCGAGAGTCCTTAAACTCTTAAATTCAGTTTCATCAAATGTAATATCTTAAAGGGATAGTTCACAACAAAATGAAAATTCTGCCATTTTCTCAGCCTCAAGCAAAGTTTCTTTCTACTGTTGAACACTAAAGAAGTTATTTTGATGAATGTAGGTAACCAAACAGTTTCTGGTCCCCACTGACTTCCATAGTATTTGTTTTCTCCATATATGGAAGTCAATTATTTGGTTACCAACATTAAATTTTTGGGTGAACTATGCCTTTAAATGCTGTACGAAAAATCTTAATTATCACTTTAAGGCCATATTACATTTGAGACGGAAAAGCAGGATTCATGATACGACCTAATATAATTTTTTTTTAATATAAAAGTTTATATTGTAACATGTTGTTGATGGTTGTAAGAGTCCATATTTTATCATATTGTAGCATTAAAACAGAGATTTCAAAATAAGAGTCCCAGTGTATTTCGGGCTTGCTTGTTTATAATTAAAAGTCCTGCATTATGCATTACGTTAGTTTTTATGGTTATTATATTTAATAACAACCATAAAACAATCTTTTTATTGCCTATTTTTAAACACATTTAACAAAATCCATGTATTGACACATTAGTACATTTCAATACATACTGTATGTTTTCTACTAGTCAAAAGGCTACATTTATTTGATCAGAAATACAGCATATTAGAATGATTTATGAAGGATCATGTGACAGTGAAGTAATGATGCTGAAAATTCAGCTTTACATCACAAGAATTATATATTGGCATAAAAAACACTATTTTGAAACTAAATCAAATGTTTGACTAGTTTGCTAACCTAAACGGAGCTGAAAGCATTAATAACGGTGCTCTGTGTCTCAGGGCGATACTTCGATGAGATCAGTCAGGACACAGGGAAGTATTGTTTCGGTGTGGAGGACACACTGAAGGCGCTGGAAATGGGAGCCGCTGAAATTCTCATTGTTTATGAAAACTTTGAGACGATGAGATATGTCCTGAGATTGCACGGCGCGGAGGTCAACGGCTCGGAGAACGGTACAGAGACACACAAAATAATTAAATCACATCAGAAATTATAACATGGACACTTTCATTCTTATTTCAAATTATAATATAAAGACTGTTCCTGTCTTCTGATTGGTCAATCCAGTATTCCAGTGACAATATAGTAACAGCTACATATATATGCGATAATATTCTCTATTTACTACAGATTATTTTGCCTTCTGGCTCTGTGTTCAGTGTAAGCACGAGTGTTAAAGGAGTGTAAACACTTCCTGGCATTCACAGTGTTTGTTTTTACTGTGGGTTGTTGTTTCAACAGATAGTAAGAGATTAGATTGTGTCGAGCGGAAGTGCTTCTGTAATGTCTCCTCACTGCTGTGTGTTTCAGATGAGAAAGTCATTTATTTGTCCCCTGAACAAGAGAAGGACAAATCGCACTTCATAGATAAAGAGGTGTGTGTGTGTGTATCTGTGTCAAAGGTGGTCTGTGCTGTTATTTTAGCATCACTTTTATAGTTTTTATTCGTATATTAAATATTATTTTTAGATTTTCAGTTTTCACTTGTAACTGTAAAATTACTTTTTTAGTAATTTTGTTGTTTTTGGCTGCTTTATTATTATTATTTTTTTTTAATATTACTATTTAAGTTTAATTATTTTTATTTTATTTTATACATTTCAGTTTTAGTTCTTAGTTCTCATTTATTTTCTATATATTATTAATTAAGTACCTATATTATTTTCTTTAGTTCTTAGTTTTTTTTTTCCAGTTTATCTTAGTTCTTCAGCTTAAGTTTATTTCGGGTGGTTCCCGAGACGACATTTCTAATTTGTTTAGTTTCAGTTTTTCATCTAAATTGTTTATTTAATTTAAAGGGGTCATATGATGCTATTTTACAGATCATTATTTTATGTATTTGGTGTAACAGAATATGTTGACATGCTTTAATGTTCAAAAAACACATTATTTTTCAAATACTGTACATTATTGTAGGTCCTCTAATCTTTATTTCAATTTTTGGCAAATTTGGCTCTTCTACTGCATATGCAGATTTGATTAGAATAGCTGGATAGCTAGTCTTTGTTACAATTTTTTACATTTTGTGCTATATAAATAAAACTGTGATGAGTTGAACTGAGTCAAAGATAAAAAGGGATTTCTATTCGTTACTGGAAATGGCATGTGCATTGCATGGCAGGGATTACCAAACTTTTCTGTCAGCTTGAACCCCTTTTATATAAAATATTTTCTTGAAGTCCCCTTGAGATTAAAAGTTAGTATTTCAATAATTTATATTTTATTTTATTGTTTTTATTAATGTATTTATATATTTTTTTTATTTTTATGAATTAATGACTTTAGTGAGTGTCAGGCAATGCACTGGTTGCTTGATGATGAAACGGTTGTTGTTTTTTCCCCCTTTCTTTTTACATGTGTAAAGAAGAGCCACCAAATGAAGATATGCAGTAATTTGCAGTGCATTATCATAACACTTTTACACATTTGACAGCCCTGACAGGTGTAATGTTTGATCGTGTGTTTGTTGTTGTGCGGCTCAGACGGGTCAGGAACACGAGCTCATCGAGTGCATGCCGCTGCTGGAGTGGTTCGCCAACAGCTATAAGAAGTTTGGAGCGACTCTGGAGATCGTGACGGATAAAAGTCAGGAGGGATCGCAGTTCGTCAAGGGTTTCGGAGGAATCGGAGGTGAGCGAACGCTGAATCTGGATTTGTTCATGAATGAAAAGATGTTGTTATTATAGAATTGTATTACTGTTTATTTCTTAACAAAATATGGACCTCTCTATTAGGTATTTTGCGGTACCGAGTGGATTTCCAGGGGTTGGAATACCAGGGAGAAGATGAGGAGTTTTTTGATTTGGAAGACTACTAGGTAGTCGAGTCTGAGCTAGAGAGAAATCGATGAAGATTTGAGGAATCATGGGGGAAAAAATAGTTCTTTCTTACCAAATACTCAAAACACACAGTTTGAGAAGAGTGTCATTTGTCAGTCAATTGAAGGACAGAACCGTTAATGAATAATTAAACAGCCTGGCTTTTAGAGTGTTCTGATTGGACAGGATTCATTTGTTTATTCTCTTCCCCGTTTGAATTAAAGTCGCAGGAACCTTCTGACTGTTTGGACTCAATTTGAAATGTTTATTTTTATTTTTATCCTCTGTTCCCTGTTCTTCTTATCCCAACTTTTTATACCATAAATCCACAACTAGTTTTCTTCCTTTATTTTTATTTTTTATTATTATTGGCAATTGCTGCTGCTGTATTTTGACAGTGTGGTATTTTTACATGGGTTTCTGTAATGAATAGGGGGAAAACAAAATAAATTCTAAAGTAAGCTACCTGCTGTTGGTGTTTTACTGATGTGTGCTCTGTATATTCCTCAAAAATGTGTGTTTATTGAAACCTTATTTTGTGCTTCTAGATTATTACATTTTACTATTTATAGACAATTTACTTTGCCATACTATATGAACACTATAGCAAAAACCTTTTTTCTCATTCTTTTTAACACACCAGTTAAGAAATATAATGAAAATTATTAGTCAACTTATTAGAAACAAAAATGTTAAATCAATGTGAGGTTTTAAAGGTATTTAAAATCAAAAGTGACTGGAGTCTATGGGAAGTTTAGAGAAAAACAGTCTAAAAATAAATGAATAAAAATATTGATTGATTCATTTTGTTTAAAGAAATACAATTAATTTAAATAAAATATGACTAATACATCTAGCATTACTATAGTGATAAAAAAAGACTAAAATGTAATGTAAAAGAAGCTGATTTTCCCCATCAAATTTTCTCATAATATTGCGTTTATATATATATATATATATATATATATTTGCCTTTTATATTCTAGGAATAGGGTCCCTGATAATCCCATAATCCCCCAAAAAATTTTTAAATACAAACTTGCAGAAAATGTATGCAGGTTTTTTTTTTTTGTTTTTTTTTTACATTTATTTAAAATTTTCAACTAACAATTAATATTAATATTATAAATTATTTTTGCAAGACTATTAGATCTAAAGAGGTCCGTGGGTTCATTTGTTGTTTTTCTCTGTTGATGGGGAAAGACCCAACAACAGAAGAAGCCAATCAACTGAAAGCATGCTTCACTACAACCGCCCCTCATCTCCGTTTGACCAATCAGGGTGTCTGCATTTTAAAGTAGCTGCAGATGGCGCCGCCTCCTCGCAGACGCACACAATAAACGCTCCCTGCAGAGCCACGTGACCACTGGGCAGCGCAGATCCCAAAACCAGATACAACAATTAACACTTCACCGGAAATCAATGTTGCAATTTTGCTAAATAAAAGTCCAAATTCGATCGTGAATAAAATTTGCGCATGTGTATTCTTAATTTGATTTCTGTTTGGGGAAGTGAAATTAGAAGACTAATGTCAAATAAAATATATAATGTTATTGAAATATAGTAATATATTATTTGTTTATTAGAGGTTATGGATTATCCAAAACTAAATTGTGCAATTGTAATTAGTTAATTGTTCTTCCTATTATTATTATTATTATCTTCTCTATCTATAATTTTGCTCTTGGTATATTTCCGATTTTGTACTATTGTTAATGTATTTTTATTTTTTGCTGAATATTTAACCATATCTAAATCTATTTTCCAGTCTTTGCATTTCTCGTTCGCTTTTTTAAATGGAAAGTAAAGTAAAATATTTTATGAGTATTATCCAAACAATGCATCAGCGTTGTAATTAATGCAAAACAACTGCACTTGTTTTGTTAAGTGCGAGTGTCACTGTGGACTAGGACTCTTATTCTGCTTTAATGTCGGTGTGGCTTCATGTTTTGTTAGGCGTATGTTGTTTCTCTCTTCGCTCGGGTTCACCGACGGGTTTCCATTTTCACGGTTGGATTCAACCAGAACAACAATAATATGGATCCGGACATGGAGGACAAAACCCTGGAGCTGATGGTACGTGCGGAGCAACATACTCGACACGGTCTGAATATGTGACGCTCGCGCTGCTGTGGATGTTTATATTCGTAGTAATAGAGAAGGAGGAGGACAAAAACACAGCGGCGGCCCGAATCGATATGAAACATTCGCCTGTTATCGTGTTGCGCTATAATGATTGATTTTAGTTTTGAACGTTAAACTCTGAACTTTTGACTCGTTAAACCGACTTTTCGCTCATGATTTGACGAGTTTATCGCGTATGAATGTCGAGGAATGGTTTGTGTTCGCTGGAGGATCGGAGCGGTCATTGCGGCACCGCTGAGCCACTGCGCGCCTCATATATCACGGTCGTTATGCGCTTTATGTATCATATACATATGGACTTAATATGTTGTATACAGTCTATATTTGATTCATATATTACGTACATATGTACTAAATGCCTATACATGCGCTTTGTATAACGATATATATATGCAGTCTAATATAAAATATAGACTTCTTATTAATCTAATGCAAATGATAAATATATTTACTTTTCGTACATTTCATCCATATTCTTAGCATATGTGACCCTGGACCACAAAACTTAAATTTCATTCAGTCATAAGGGTCAATTTTTTTAAAAATTGAGATTTAAACATCATCTGAAAGCTGAATAAATAAGTTTTCCATCAATGTATGGTTTGTTAGGATTGGACAATATTTGGCTGAGATACAACTATTTGAAAATCTGGAATCTGAGGGTGCAGAAAAAAAATCTAAATATTGGGAAAATCACCTTTAAAATTGTCCAAATGAAGTATTTAGCAATGCATATTACTAATCAAAAATTAAGTTTTGATCTTCACGGTAGGAAATGTACAAAATATCTTCATGGAACATGATCTTTACTTAATATCCTAATGATTTTTGGCATAAAAGAAAAATCGATCATTTTGACCCATACAATGTATTTCTGGCTATTGCTACAAATATGTCTGTGCTACTTATGACCGGTTTTGTGCTCCAAGGTCACATATGATAGTCTATATGTGCTTCAAACAGTGTATATGCAATCTATGTGTCACATATCATCTATATATGCTTAATTTTTCACTCTCTCTATGCACTTCATATCTCACAATCCAAATGCATTTCATATATCACATACAGTCCATATGTGCCTATGTATAGCTGCTTGGAGAATCTATATGCAGAAACCGAATATACAGAATCTGTATGCGCTTCATTTACCTTACACAACCTCTATGCCTTTAATTCACTCCGTAAACAGTCTTAATATGTATTTAATACCACTTATATATGTCCTGGATATTATATAGTTTATGTGCTTCATTTATCACAGTCTTTGTGTTTATTGTATTATTACTGTCTACATGCATGTGTTACAGAGTCTATATATGCTTATGACATTGTCCACTTTGCATAAAAGCATCTATTAAATGACTAATTAGTCATTTTTATGTTATTCACATTTACTAAACTGTCATATGCGCTATTATTTCTACACATCTGTGCCCTAATAAGTCATGCATAGTTGAATCTCAATGTAAATGATGCACAAGAGGGTGTAACCAGTTCAGTCTCTCTAGATCTGTCATGATTATGCTAGTCTTCATCTGGGGTCATGTTAGGTTGAGTTTAACAACAGCCTCTCTGTTAAAGGCCAGCTGCCTGGAGACACAGCGCTTGGTTTGTTTTGAATGGGATTTGGAGTTTATTCTTTTATTACTGGTTTTGGATGCAGATTTATGAATGGTTAATATTAGTGTGAGGTCTAGTAAAACATGAAATGGCCCGAATTGTCTTATACAATGTAAAACAATTTAGTTTACACAAAAATAAAATTCTGTCTTCATTTACTCAGCTTCAAGTTGTTCCAACCTGTATATATTTCTTTCTTCTGCTGGACACAAAAGAAGATATTTTGAAGCAGGCGGGTAACCAAAGAGATTCTGGCCCCCATTTTTCCCATACTTCAGAAGTCAGTGGGGACCAGCAACTGTGTGGTTACCAACATTCTTCAAAATATCTTCTGTTATGTTATGTTTTAGTAAATTAAAAAAATAATATTAATTGAAATAAATAATTAAATATATATTAGATAAATGTAAATAATTTATGAATACTATATTTATAATTAATAGATTAATTTAAATAAAAAATAATAATAATTTAAATGCTATAATAATAAATAAATAATTTACCATCTTTTCATTTGACTTCAGACTTCATTGAGTGTCATACACAAACACACAGCTCAGCGCTAGCATGAATGTCTCGAGTGTGTAAAGCTCACATGTCCACCATACTCTTAACTAGCTCATATTTTGCAGTGCAGAGGTAGGAGCTTATTAGGCCACTCCCTCTTTTCCACCCCGCCTACTCATAATTGTGTTTTTGGTCCGTGTAAAACACTGTCTGCAGGAGTGTGTGTGTGTGTGTTGCTCACTGTTGCTCTAATACTGTTTTTTCCCCTCACTTTCCTCACTGACTCTCTTTTCTCTTTTCCACATTGTTTCACTTGTTTGACCCTCACGTCACTGCCATTATTTGCATGCTTGCTTCTTTCTTTCTTTCTTTCTTTCTTTCTTTCTTGTTTTGTTTATTCTTTCCTGTTTGCTTATTCCTTCTTTGTTCATCGATATGCTCATTCTTTCTGTCTTGTCCTTTCTATTGTTTGTTCTTTTCTTTTCTGTCTTTCATTGTTTTCCTCCTTGGTTTACTGTTTAATTTCATTCTGACTTAATTTTTTTCTCTCTCTCTGTTTTGCCTACCGTTCTCTCTCGTATGGCATATTCCCATTCTGTTTTTCTCTTCTCTCTCTCTGTCTCTCCCTCTCTGTCTCTCTCACTGTCTCTCTCTCTCTCTCACACACAGTGTTCTTTGCCTCGTTCTGTCTGGCTGGGTTGTTCGTCGGTGGCAGAGAGTCTGTGTGCTCTCAGATGCGTGCAGAGCCTCCCGTCTTCCCGGGCCCACAACCAGGTTCTACTCTCCCCTTCTCTCCTCTCCGCTCCTCCTGTCTGTCTGTCTCACACACTGGTTGTGTGTCTGTGTGTTTGGCTAGATGTGAATTAAATGCGTAGATGTCTAAGTTTACTAAACTGTAATTCAGGCTCTATAATTCAGCCTGTTTTTTGTGAGAAAACAGAAGAGGAACTGCTGAAGAGCAGAGTGGCTGTCTGTTTCCACCCTCTCTCTCTCTCTCTCTGTGTCTTTCTGCTTGCCTGTCTGTCTGCTTTAGTCTCACCATCTCATATCTGAACTGACATACATTAAAAGTTTATTAAACAGAACTGTTTAATAACAATTTTAATCAACCCTAAAGTGTCCCTGGTAGTATTTAGTGTCAAGTCCATTTTAGTTAAAGAAACTGAGGATGCATCAAATTGAACAAAAAA